TGTTCAACCAAGCGGACAACGTCAGTTCGTCCGTTGCTTTTTGGTGTCCTCGATCCTCCCTGAGACTGACATGCTTCAAGGTGCACAGCTCGCTACAGATTAGTCAACATGCAGCACTTATCTGAACACTAGAGACCCTATCGATTGATGTTTGCTCCTTATCGGAAACCCGCCTACAAGCTTCGAGTCCTGTGCTTACCCCGCGATCCCCGACATGCCACACTGCCGGCACTTTCTCATTACACCTGTCTGGAGATGACGCAGTTTCAAATACAGGCATCGGTATTGTTTTTAGTCCTCGGGCTGAAGCTGCGCTGATCGATTGCATCCCGTTCAACAGCCGGATGTGCGCCGTTAGACTGGTTGGCTCGTTCCAGTCTTCGAAGTCGCAGGGGGACAAACCGTGCCTGTTTGGCATTGCGGCCTACACCCCACAAACTGTAGCACTGACTCGGTGAAGGATGATTTCTGTCATCAATTTAACGATTTTCTTCGTTACAAAGATACTGTAGTGCTTGTTGGTGATCTGAATGCCCAGCTTGGAAAATTGTGCTTTAGGCTTCCTTTATGATAACGGTGAGCAATATATTGGAATATGTTTGGAACCGACTGTGATTTCATGATTTCAGAAGGTTTTGTATACAAATCGGTTTTGGTAGGGTTTTATTATGGCAACGTTTCGCCCTTGACACAAGAGCTTCTTCAGGCCAGGTGAATTGGTACAAAATTGGCGTAGCTTTTTATGGGAAGGTTGCAAGACAAAAACATGAACCATGGTTCATGTTTTTGTCTTGCAACCTTCCCATAAAAAGCTACGCCAATTTTGTACCAATTCACCTGGCCTGAAGAAGCTCTTGTGTCAAGGGCGAAACGTTGCCACAATAAAACCCTACCAAAACCGATTTGTATACAAAAACCTTCTGAAATCATAACGGTGAGCAGTTGATACGCATGTGTGAAGTTGCTCGTCTATTTCTCGCGAGCACTAATTTCGACACAACACCCGTCATCAAATCTTCGACAACAGCAGTACACCAGCCATTCAAACTGACGCTTCGCTGCCATACAACCATAATGATCCAGAGTAAAGAATAATAAGAGGGAGAGAAGAGGTACTTACCTGAAAACTTTAACGATCTAAACAGACATTCAGGGTCAAGGCACCTACACCTTGTGTAGACATGCCATCACAAACGGCTGGCTATCGTGCAAAGATAGCACCAGTAGCAGAGTGACTTGGAATCTACTAGCCATGGACGCAAGTCGATCACATCGCGATCAGTTACCTCTAAAGAGGCCGCGTTCAAAACTGTCGCTTGATTTGAAACACGTGCGTGGACTCCAATCCCGCTCTTGTGTGTGCCGACCTTCGGGTGCGTCTCGGCGGGAGTCTGCAACGTCGCTGTGAGCGCATAGACCTCAGCCAAATGGCGAAGCCAGATCTCCTGAATACATATCAAAGTACTCTGGCATCCGGGCTGAGTAAGCGCCCACTGAACACCGTTAAAGATCATTGGTTACATATTCGTCAAACGGTATTATCAGCAGGCATGCCTTCATGTGACAAAGCAAATTGCCAACCTGGACGTTGGGTCTTTACACAGTCTGTGGGACTATTGGATGCTCGCCAGCATATTCCGGCTGGAAGCCAACATGATGTGACTCGCAAAAATCTCAGGTCAATACTGGTGCCAACCTGAAGTGAAACCACGAAGCCTGGTAGTTTCATGGTGCATCGAAAATGGAAAGAGCCGCTGCCGTTGGTAACCGTCGTAAGTTATTCCGTCTGATACGCGAAGCGGGCAGCAGTAGACCTGGTGTTAGCGAGATCATAGTTGACGAGTTTGGACAGCCGATCTGCAGCTTGTCAAAACGCTTGGAGTATTGTGCCGAACACTGCAAATCAGTTTAACCAACTTGATTTATCACTTTCTTTTTCGGTCATTGATTGCCCTTCTCTCTTGCCATCTCCTTGGATCCGCCATCACGAACAGAAATAAAACATGAGATCAGACTGTTGTAGTTAAATATGGTCGCAGGGGCAGTTAGAATTCCCCCAGACCTCTTCCATTTCGGGATGCCTGATCCTGTCGATTATTTACGCGTGTTGCTGGTGAAACTATGGGAGCAGGAAACTGTCCCAACCGACTGGAGACGCTCCGTAATAATCCCAATCTTCAAGGGAAGCTCACGTTCCGAATGCGGTAATACTAGAGTGATTAGTCTGATCTTAGTTGCCTCCAAATTGCTTGCGTCTGTCATTCTCCACAAACTGACTGGCACTCGTGAAAGTCAAATTCGTGAGGAGCAAGCCTGGTTCCGTCGGAATCGAGGCTGTATCGACCACATCTTTCCGTCGATCGTCGGAGTACTGCCATATTTATCGGCGACCCACTGTAGTCGTGTTTCTCGACAAAAGAAGGGCCTCTGACTCGTTGGATCGAAGTGCTGTTCGTCACTCTGTGCTCAGGAAAGCTGTGCCTGATAAACACGCAAATATTATCCGGGCGCTGTACGCGCATACTTGAGGCAGAATGAGAGTTTATGGCAAACCGTCGCCGCCCTTTGAGACAAGGTTGCCAGCTGTCATCTTTCCTCTTCAACTTCACCATTGGCGAAGCCATGGAAACAGCGTTCACTGGTCACGGCGTACACTGTGTGGCGCTGCTTCCCGGTGAACGACTTCTTGACTTGGAGTATGCCGACGACATTGCCCTAGTCTGTGACGGCTCCTAAAGGTGCCAAACAGCACTGGACAGATTAGTACTGGTTATTTATCGTTTTGGTCTATTCTTTGCTACCTCGAAATGCAAAGTCCTCCACTACTGACAGCGATCCACCATTGCGCTGACCCTTGATGGTCAGCTATAAGTTGTTCAGGAATTCAAATACCTAGGCAGCTTATAGGTTGGTATTAAAGTTATTGCGTTTTTGATATTTTTATTATAACAGCTTTGTTTTTGAATAATTTTCAATAAGTTGCTTTGTTCTTGTATATCATTTTGAAGCCGGTTTTGTGCTCTATCTAGCAATAATGGTAGCTTAGCTCAGAAACACCTTTTTACATCTTGACAGAAGATGTATAGCAACATGGACTGAAAACAAATCCGCACAATTTTCTTGTATCACTTTAAACTTGATCGAAATGCAGAGGAAACAACTAATGATATTAACAGTGCATTTGGTGTTGGAATCACTAGTAACCGTACTACATATTGGTGGTTTCAAAAGTTTCGAAAAGGTTACGAAAGGTCTGGTGATGAAGAGCGTTGTACACGGCCAATAGGAAGTGAACACTAATCAATCCATGGCCTTGCTGTAAGCTGCTCCGCGTAAAACTATTCAAGATATTGTTGTTGACTTAGTAGTATTTCCTGTAACATTTTTACAACATTTACGGGTGATTGGGATGTCGAAAAGTTTGAAAAGTGGGTTTCACATGAATTGAATGAAAATCACAGAAATCGCCGTTTTGATGTGTCTTCTGCGTATTAAGAAGGACCCGTTTCTCGACCGGATTGTGACTTGCGATGAAAATGGGATTCTTTACGGCAATCGACAACGAACCTCTCAATGGTTGGGCTACGGTCAAGCTCCATAACATTTCCCAACGCCGAAACTGCATCCAAAAAGGCTATGGTGACTGCTTGGTGGTCTGATTCATCATATCTTTCTGAATCCAGGGGAAACCGTTACAGCGGAAAGTATTGTTAACAAATCGTAATGCATCAAAACCTTCAACACAAGTACCCGGCACTGGTCAGCAGCAGGCGGCTAGTTCTTCTCCATGATAACGGTCGGCCGCACGTCGCACAAACAACCTTTCAGTAGCTGCACAAGCTGGGCTACGAAACTTTACCTCACTCACCATACTCCGCTTATCACTTTTTCAAGCACCTAGATAATTTCATCTAAGAGAAAGGTTTTGAAACCTAAAATGTTGGAAGCACTTTCGACGATTTCGCCACCAGAACTTTGAAATTTTATTCATCCGGGATAGATAAACTTGATTCCCGTTGGCAAAAGTGTGTCAATTGAAGTGGCTTTTATTTCGAATAAAATTGTTACGTCTGAGTCAAGGTATAAGCATTTAAAGTTAAAGGTTAAAAACTGTAATAACTATTAACAACCTAATAGATGAGCGCTCGTAGGATCTGAAATGAACTCATGAGCCGTGTCGCAAAAGCTTGAGGCGCTTTTGCTAATTTCCGTCATTTGTGACGCCGACGCGACGTCACTCTCGTCGTGAAGAGCGGAGTTTACAATACGACTGTCCGTTCAACCCTCCTACACGTTTGTGAAACCTGGCCCATTACATCAACCGACATAAAGAGGCTAGTTGCGTTCCACCATCGCTGCCTTCGAAGCTTAGCTCATATCTGGTGGAAACATCGCGTGCGCAATTTGTGTGTTCGGGGTCGTATTTGTTGCAGGACGAGCGAGTAAATTGCTCAACACCGTTATATGACGCACCAGGCTCCGATGGTTGGGCTGCTTGTTGCGCATGCTAGCACACGTGCGTTGTTTGCGCGCCCGGGGTCTGGATGGGAGAGGATGCGGGGAGGTCAATCCATGAGTTGGTCTAGAGTGATGTAGGCTCTCATTTCGAAGTCGGCGTCGGTGGGTGTGTCCCGAATGCCGGGTTTGGGTCCCAAGCACAATGAACCGCGTTTTGTTGGATACACTTTCCGATATGTCGAAGAGCCGACCACAATGGCGTTTGTGTTGTCAGTTTCTTTGTCCACTCCTCCCCTTTAGATTCCCTCTCCAGTTACGATCTCATACCGAATGCATAATACAATCTTAGGCATTATATTATTTACTTTTTGAAGTTTTTATAGTCTTAATGTCTATTATCTGAGTGGTTTCTCACTCCCAGCGAAAGTGTACTGTTGATGGTATGATGAGTATTGCTGGATAATGTCGTGAAGAATCCTTCTCGGCTAGATGAGCCGACCTCTGAGGAACGCTGATATATTTGTTCGTTTGATTCCCGCCGCACGATCTTACCTTACACGAAACAGAAACTGTTCCATTCAGCATTCTGATCTACTTTTTACACGCATTTTGATGTTCCCTCTGCAGGTAAACTTTGCATAATAGATGTATTACGACAATAGATTTCTCCCCCACCTCACGTCACATACCTCTTCAGGTTTATGACTATTTTCGCAAGATCTCTACTACCAACCGACGGTTTTGAACTTTTTTGTATGTCCTAAAGTAGATTAATCTTCTTGCGTTCTCACATTCCCATTTACATTTCACTGCTTACTCCGGTCTTTCTACTTAACCGTCTAGCTGCATCTTGGCTGATTTGTTCTTACTTTTCGGCTTCGATCGCCTTTTTGGAACCTCTGCGACCGACAAAGTGCTATCAATGGAGGACGCTAACCGGATAGAAGCCCCGACGGGTGCTCAGGCGAAATTATATGTACTTCTTGATCAAGCCTCTTTGGAATCCGTTAAGGCTGCTGGGGGGAAGGAATACCAACTTCTTAATCCGGACAAACACAAAGATCGTATATCCAAGACGGGGCAAGATATCTCTAATGTCAGACCAGACATTGCTCATCAGTGTCTTTTAATGCTACTCGACAGTCCGCTGAACAGAGTTGGTAGGCTCCAGGTACGAGTTTCTCATTACAGTGATCGCTTTTTGCAGTACTTTGCTTCATCGTTGTTAACTTTTTGGCTTCCCTAATAAATTACGTCTCGGTAGTTGACAGTTATTGACCAACGAGGCACAGAGTTGCTCACGGCATTAGTAAGGTATCAGCAGTGCGCGGACACACCGTACCGACCCTTCGCTGTCACGCGACTGCTAACAGTTGCGCATGGGCTGGGTATACCTCGAGGTCGCTCGCACCTAGGCGGATCCGAATTACAAAAAAGCATGTAATCTATTCGGCCACTGGCCGACATAAGTTGTTTGAGTTACTGAATACTGTATTGTAAGAACAGGTAAAAATCTGAATATGTACAACTCTATTGAAATATGATCAAAAACGCTTAAAAAGCAAACCACCTATGACTTGTCAATACCCTGATCGTTTTTCATGTTCTCACGTGATATCGTAGGAAATCTGAAACTCACAGTAAGTTGGGACTCACAAATATGTAATCTAACATTTGAGAAATGCACATCCAACGATCGTCTGAATTGCTGCACTGAGTTTGCTTCCACTATATGCTCCGACGAACCGTTCTAAACATTTACCACTCATCGTTCCCAGCACAGGGGATGAGGAACTCGCTTCAGATCTGGAACAACAAGTTTGTACTGGTGTCCGTGTGTGTCGCAGGGTGTTCGCAAGTGGAGCATTAACCTAAACATGGGGAAGTCGACTACATGTAGGATTCAGTTGGTCATGATGGTGTCGACTCGCAACCGATGATAGGCCAGGGTTTATAGTACAAGCCTCTCGCACCTCGCAAACTAGTTATGAGCCCGGTAGCGACGTGCTTAACCCGTTCAATCTTTCGCGCTTCTCCGCGAGTGGTCAGGCAATTGGTGGGCGAGCCGTACTCTAGCATTAGTCTGATGATGTAAGGGAAGATGCGTGTGGTGATCTCTTCGTACCATATGCAGAAACTGCGTTCGAAAGCCAAGAGCATGTGCAGCCCGTTTCAGTGAAGCGTGTTTGTGTTGTCAACGGACTTCGAGTCGCAACGTGTGAATACTTCTAGGTCCTTCATGGAAAGTGTGGGATGTAGTATTTGACCATTCACAGTGCAACCACCTTTCTGCATTCTCATGAATACCGACTTGAATGAGTTGACTGGGAGGCGGAATTCTGTAGATAAAATTCGAAGGCCCTTAAGACCCTGCTGAAGTAAGCCGTGGTTGTCAGGAGTGCTTATCACTCTCCACATCTTCATGTCAAATTCAATCAATTTACACGGCGATCGAATAAGCCGAGGTAAACCGTTGATATAAATCAGGAACAATGTAGGCCTCAGCATCATGCCTTGGGGTACGCCACTGGTCGAAGCATACCAGTCGGTCAGATGGCTATCGACTTGTATCTTCCTATTTTGTTTAACGAGAAATTCGCATATCCACTGGTGATGTGAGTCGTCAACACTGTACACTCTCAGCTTGAGGAGGAGGATCTCATGGTCTCCTATGTTGAACGCTTTGCTGAAATTTTAGAGGGTTACCTGTACCGGGAGCCCAGAGAGCGATTCGAGAAGGCGGATCGAGTTGCAGGGAAACTTTTATTGGTTCAGTAAAAGATTCCCTGTTATCTAGCTATAAAAGAACGACACCGTGGACGCTCTAGCTAGGGGAATGGAGCAAGCACAGCACACAGGGCAGTTGCGAGTTGCAACCGAAACGAGCGCCAAGCAAAAATGGCGATGAGCAAGTAAAGCATTCGAACTCAGCAAGCAGTTCAACAAACCACACCGGTTGCCTAGGTGTACAATTATAGAATTTTGGTTAGAATTTTACACAGGCAAACCGGGGAATCTCCAGACTGCTACATAGCCCTCTCCCAGAAGGGACTGTGTAAGCAGTCCTTCAATCTACGTGAGGACTGTCCGTCGCGGGCCAGCCTTCTGCGAGACCAGGTTGTGAAACCTGATGCAGCTGCTGGGGAGAACCATGCAATCGGACCCTAGCGGGCTCCCACCCGTGTCCTCCCTACGGTGTCGAAACGGTAAAAAAACTGTTTGTGAGGGGGGACAGTTAGTAAAGTTCACGTGGGCGGTTGAACAGGAAGTTCGTTCCACTTGCAGTTGACGTGCGGAGATCCAGCGAAAATGAAACCGAGATGCAACCAACCGACGGTGTATATGGAAAGTAAAATGAAAAAGCAGCGTAAGTGCATAGCCATACACAAAAGAGTGTGAAGCGAAAAACGTGCAAAGCTGTTTTTGGGTTTTCAAAAGATTTTGCTCTTTTTTGCTAATTTCAAAACGTTTTGATCTTTTTGTGGATTTTCAAAAATGTTTGGTAAGAGCAGAAAATTTCTAAGGCACGTTCTACGTAAAATAGTGAGTGCTAACAAAGTCCGAAAAACGAACTGGAGGTTTGAGCTTCCTACCGCGTCGATTGACAGTAGGGCGAGTAGGAGTGCTGTCGGTTGCGGTTGTAGGTTCTGCTGGAGCGGGCTGACTCGTCTGAGGTTGCGGTGCGAGCTGTGATGGCACAGGCTGTGAAGGCGCTTGTTGCACGGAAGAGTCAGACTTGTCGAGGAATGCTGGCTTGAGTCGATCGATGTTGATCGTCTCAGTCTTACCATTGTAGTCAATGGTAAACGTCTTATCGCTTCTGCGTACGACACGGTACGGACCAGAATAGGGAGGTTGAAGTGGTCGGCGTACGCTGTCAGTGCGAACGAACACGTGCGTGCAAGTGGTTAAGCGTTCGTCCACGTTGGTACGCAAGCTCTGTGCTCTGGGTTGCACAGGCTGAAGCTGTCGCATGTGATGGGATAGGCGAGCTGCGTAGTCGCCATAGTCGAAGGTTGTTGGTGCTTTTGGTGAGACGAGTTCACCAGGTAAGCGTTGTGTGCATCCAAAGACTAGCGACGATGGAGTGGCGTGCAAGTCCGCTTTAATCGTGTTTCTTATGCCTAAGAGAACGAGCGGAAGTGCTTCGTGCCAGGATGTGCTAGATTGGGCACAAAGTGAGGCTTTGAGTTGCCGGTGGAACCTTTCTACCATCCCATTAGCTGCGGGATGGTATGCGGTGGTTCGGTTATGTTGGCAACCAAGAACGTCGAGCAGTTTGCTGAAGGATCCGTCAAAGTGCGATCCTCTGTCAGTGATAACTACGCTTGGGCAACCGAAATGAGCTACCCAGCGTTCTAGGAAAGCTTGCGCAACTGACTCAGATGAGCAGTTGACTATCGGAATCGCCTCTGGCCAACGGGTGAATCGGTCGACACAAGTGAGTAGGTACACGTAGCCTTTGCATGGAGGCAAAGGTCCGACCAGGTCGACATGGACGTGTGCAAAACGAGCGTCAGGAGCGGGAAAGACGCCAAGTGGGCTTTTGGTGTGTCTGTAGACCTTGGCGCGCTGACACTAAGCATGCGCGTGCCCAAATGCGGACATCGCGATTGACGTTGGGCCATATGAAGCGTTCCGTTACGAGCTTCTGCGAAGCACGTATGTCGGGATGAGACAGGTTGTGTAAAGCATTGAAAACTAGTCGACGCATTTAGGTAAGAACTACGGGTCGGGAGAAGTTTGTGAGACGTCACAAAGAATGGTCCCCTCAGATGAAGCTAGTGGGACTTCGTATACGAGGTGTTGCGTCGTAGCTTGTCTATGTCGGGATCAGCTTGTTGGGCAGCAGCCATAGCGGCTAGGTCAATGTTGGTGCCAGGCGATAAGCTGATCTGCTGAATGCGTGAAAGCGCATCCGCTACAGGATTGGGAGCACCTGAGACATGTCGTACGTCTGTCGTAAACTGAGAAACGTAGTCTATGTGTCTAGTTTCCCGCGGAGAATACTTGTCTGTTGCGCCATTGATTGCGTGGATCAATGGCTTGTGGTCGGTGAAGACTGTAAAATTTCGACCTTCGAGATAATGACGGAAATGTCGGATACCTAGGTAGATAGCTAACAGTTCCCTACCGAAGGTGCTGTAACGCGATCCGGCATGTTGTAAACGTTTCGAGAAGAAACCTAGATGTATCCATCGATGGTCGATGAGTTGCTGAAGAACTGCATCGACGGCAGTGTCGGGTGCGTCAGTCGTCAGAGAGAGTGGTGCTGATGTGTCTGGGTGGGCGAGAATCGCTACGTTGGAGATAGCGTCTTTGAGCTTCTCGAAAGACAGTCTAGCGTCGTTGTTTACCGCGGAGCAAGTCAGTCATTGGTTGGACAATGCTCGCGCAGTTAAGAATAAAGCGTCTATAATAGTTAACCAGGCCAAAGAATCGGCGTAACTGCTTGAAGGAACTGGGAGCAGGATAGTCCTTCAGTGCCTGGATTTTGTCTGGCAGAGCTTCAATACCAGAGGCGGATATGCGGTGGCCAAGAAAGTCGGTGGAATTTTGGCCAAGCTCGCATTTATCGGGGTTGACGGTAACCCCATGCTGGGTTAAGCGTTGGAAGAGAGCGTCGAGGTGATGAAGATGTTCTTCATCAGAAGAGCTGGCGATAAGAATGTCATCTAGATAAGGATAAACGCCTTCGAGTCCTCGCGTTACCCCATGAATGAAACGCTGAAAAGTTTGGGCAGTGTTGCTGAGGCCGAAAGGCATTCTGAGGTACTCGAATAGGCCGAATGGCGTAATGACTGCGGTTTTAGCAATGTCGTCTGGCGCCACAGGTATCTGATGGTAGGCGCGAACTAAGTCGACTTTGCTAAAGATAGACTTGCCAACTAGAGCTGAGGTCAAGTCGTGCATGTGCGGAATGGGGTATTTCTCCGGGACGGTAACTTTGTTAAGTGCCCTGTAGTCACCGCAGGGTCGCCGGTCACCAGATTTCTTCGGCACCAAGTGTAATGGTGATGCCCACGGACTTTTGGACGGGCGGATTATTCCCCGTTCGAGCATTTGCTCGAATTCCGCCTTAGCAGCTTTGAGCTTGTCCGGGGCTAGTCGGCGAGGGCGGGCCGAAACAGGTGGGTCCTTAGTGCAAATGTGATGCATGACGTTTGACGT